CTTTTAGCAAAGATATTGGGCTGAAAATTTGTAAGTGCTGTATACACACTGATAACTAAATGGCATCTCTTGCAGTATATGCACAGATTTGCAGCATACTTCCAGCAGGGGGATATGGAGAGTAATGGGAAATACATAACTAGGAGTGGACAGAAATGTAATTATAAAACAGGACCTATCATCTGGGGAGAGCCTGGAACAAATGGACAGCATGCATTTTACCAACTCATCCATCAAGGTCAGAGGTCAATCATTTAATTAGTAGGTCTTGCTTGTTTTTCTACATAAACATTAAAATTTTTAATTTGTTTCCAGTGAAGTTTTTGTAACACTGTTTTTTCTCTCTGCAGGAACAAGGTTAATTCCATGTGACTTTTTAATGCCTGTGAAAACCCAAAATCCAATTCAGAATGGACTACATCATGAGGTAAATATCTTCTCTTTTTTTCCATTCATGTCTGTAATTTTTAAAGGTTTTCAAAACTATTACTTAAAAAAAAGCTATTGAAGTAAATTTAATATTCTTTATTATGAAGGCAATCAGAGAAATTGTATCATATACTTGAGACAGAAGTATATCTGAAGTGTTGTACATGTATATACTTGAATTTTATTAAGAAAACTCCTGTGCTTCAGAACTTGACATCATCCATAATTATCACAACAGAACACATAAAGAACACCAAGAGAATGTGATTGAATAGGAAAACCTCAACTCTTTTTTTTTTTAATTTGAGTTTCCCCACATCCCAGATTTCATGGGATAAATTATTAAAATTCCAAAAATATAATTTCTTTAATTTGATTGATTGATATTCAATCATTTGATTGTAATGTAGGTTCACAATGAAAGCAAGTGGGGGCACTGTTGGTAGTTCAGTAATTAAGCTGGGCTATGACAAAAAATTTTAAGAGCTCTAATAATTGTTTAAAAAAAACATTACATAAATATGTTTATGAATATTAAATTCCAGACCATGAATTGATCTGAATATACAGTAAAACTCAATTATAAAGAGCTTGCTTAAAAGGAAATCTTGGTTATAATGAATTTGTTACAAATCCAGTAGAAGACTTTCACTATGTGCATTATACGGATATAAAGAATCTTGGTTATACCGAAAGTAAATTTGAGGTCCCAGTGACTTCCTTGCAACCGAGTTTTACTGTAAAACACTCTGCTTAACGGAATAATAGGCAAATTGAAAAACTGTGAACATTTAATGATCAAACTCACCTTTCTCTTAATACGTTCCAGATTTTGACAGCTAACTTCCTGGCTCAGACTGAGGCTCTGATGAAGGGGAAGATGGTGGATGAAGCTAGAGAGGAACTCGTGAAGTCGGGAATGTCACAGACTGACATTGATCATATTCTTCCTCACAAGGTCAGCAAATAAATAGGTCACCTCTTCAACTGAAGTACATGTGTTGTGAATCCTGTCTAATCCAACATGCACTGGGAGACAAATTTTGTGTTGGAATAGATTAGATTACCCAGTGTAAAGAAAAATGGGAATGAAAATGAATGTTGGAATTCACAGTGAAACGGATTGCACAGGTGTTGGATTAGACAGTTTTCACTGGATTAGACATCATGAAATCAACATGTTGAAAAAACTTTTCTACATGTATATAATGTATGGTCAATTTAAAACCTAAAACAATTTCTTTTCCAGGTCTTTGAGGGTAACAGACCAAGCAACTCCATTCTATTCCAAAAACTTACTCCATTCACACTAGGTCTTCTCATTGGTAAGTCACACGTATTTTACTAGTACTAAGTCAGGTGTATTTTAAACTAATAATTTTAGACATGAAATTATTTTAGAATTTGAATTCCAGAATGCTATGAAATTTTTTAAAGAACAAAGAACATGTACATGTATGATAAGGATCAAAATTAGCTCCTTAATCAAAACATGGCTTTGAAATTGGGATAGTTGGTAAAACTTAAAAATTAATTAATGCCTGGTTCAGAAACATTGTTCAGTTTAATTAAAAGCACTTACAAAAGCCACTAAAAGTTGAAAGTTTAGAATTATTGTCAATTTTTAATTTGCATTAATTTTCAAACTTCAGATACATTGCACTTTTGTAATCATAGAGTGCATGAGACTCAGAGGTTATGTCTGATTCATGCAAACAGATGTGTCTGACCCTAGGCCATAAAATGCATATTTTTTTCTACTTGAGTCTAGGCTTCAGAAGTTCTTTACATTCTGTGATTTTTGAGGCAAAGTACATACATATTTAAAAATTCATGAAAATCTAGAAATATTCAAATATTCGAAAAATTGGTGAAGTTTATTTTCCTGTGGCTTTTGGCATTTGATTTACAAATGGACATCACAGGGTTGTTTGATTTTTGAATTATTGTACATTCTTTCCAATGTCACCCAACGGGTTAAACTGTCTTTTACCAAATATACCTTGTTCTATGTATATTTTTCAATAATGTTTCATATTTTTTTCCCCTCTAGCAATGTATGAACACAAGATCTTCGTCCAGGGAACTATTTGGGATATCAACTCATATGATCAGTGGGGGTAAGTTATTAGTATTTTCATATTCTAAACACTATGTTGAAATGGATCTCAAAAAAGAAAAATCTGAAACCAAGCATGGAGTTGAAAATTTAATTTGAATGCTTTTATTTATATGCACCCATCATACTTTTGTGTATGTGTAGCAAATTTTTTTTCTGAAATAATAGTATACATTTTTTTTTTTGGTTATTGTAGTGTTGAATTAGGAAAACAGCTGGCAAAAGTAATTCAGCCTGAGTTGAGAGGAAAAGATACAGTTTCAAGTCATGATGGCTCCACAAATGGACTTATCAACTTCATCAAGGCACACATGTGATCATCAGACTTCAAAACTTTTAAACAAAGACATAATATACATGTAGCTCTTTTATTAGCATTATTTACAATTTTTAAATACCTTGATCTGAAATTTTCTGCCATTTGACAGAGGATGACAAATACACAGTGGGCTATCATTGGTGCTTAGCATAGAGACATACAGAAGTAATGAGTCATAGAATAAATTAAGGTTTAGTGTGCATTTAAAGTATTGATTTATCTATTGTTGGATTGTGATCACTTTGAATGGTTATTGAGAATGATTTTCAGAAGTATATGCTGTGTTGACAACCTATTGCTGAATTTTATTATGATGAATTTACTGCATGTACTTGTCAAAGTTTTTTTGAGCTTAGATTTAAAGAATTGACGTAATTGGACAAAAGTAATTTTGGGGGAGTTTATTGTTTCCTATTTCTTTCATATTAAAACTTTTCAAACCAAAATTGAAAAAAAATAATGTAAAATAACAATCAAAAAGCCAATTTCTTTCACATATACAAGAGAAGAAAATCAATCAAAGTTTAGATCTGATCATTTATATCCCTTACGCGATTTTGAAGCATAAAAAAACTAATTTCTTTTAATTATGTATTTTAGAAAGTCTTTTAGGATGTAGTAATATTTCCTTTTTTCAATTAAAGTTTTACTAATAAAAATTCTGAAACTTTTTTATGCAATTGCCTATTCTATTGCCACTTCAGGAATTTTAACTAAAATGCATGTACAGTATGATGATAAAGTGAAAAATATGTTATGATTAATTGAACAGTCTGTATATTGCTTCAACAATTACCAACTTATTGGTATCTCGATTGCTTTTGATTTGCATAGAACCATTCGCATACCAAATTTCATTGCAATTCATGCTGTCATAGCATTACCACAATTCCTATGCCTTGAGGAATGTATAACAAAACTCATAAGTTCATTTCACATTTATTAACTTGGAAACAGTAGTATTGCACCAATTATTATAGTCACACATTTTCAAATACAACAATTGTCAACATTCACTGTAAAGTCACTGTAAAGTCTACGGATAATGGACATAAATGGCCACATTGTCCCCAAATCTTATATGAGGTCTGGGGTTACGGCCGAAATACCAACACACAAAGGTGCATAACGGGCATGACGGAGGCCTTGTGTTGAGCACAAGTGCCGGTAAAGTCCCAATGCTTGACAACTAGCATGTGGACGGAAATGGCCTGGGACATATCTGTTTACCCTGTTTCCAGAAGATTGCTCCCTGGTTCGATAGTACTTACTGACACTGAGTACTCCAGACTGTGAGCCTTCCCTCCTTTTAAAAGAGGTGAAGGGGGCACCAAGTATGGCTTAAACTTGTAGAACCCCAACCATAAACTACATAAGGGGTAATACTTTCCCCACAAACAACAACTGCCCTCTGTCTTAGTTGACAGATGGGGGAAACACAGGCCAGAAATGTCCCGAAAACCCCCCTTAGGTCCCCCCAGACCCGCCATAAAACATTGATATAATGTTCCTCCATTTACCTATACCATAACATACTTAAATAATTGATTTGTATTATGAGAATGGATCTAATGTAGACCTCTATGGAAATTCCGTGGCTGTATTAGACAGAAATGATGATAGCCCCCCCTGGAGATTATGAAGATACAAATGGTTCCCCGTCTCTGAGAGGTGTGTCCCGTCATATCTGAATAATTCTACAGATTTTGCAGATATGTTATGGTGAGAAATGACGGATCCACCCAGGTCCAAAACAAATGATCTGATTTTTTCTGTTTATCTTTTTCCTTTTCTTATCGATTTTGCCTCCGCAGTTGAGTGGAGCCCCATGCCAGTATAGGCGGGGTAATATAGAAGACCATACCAATTTGGTATTGGGTAATAATGCATTGTAGCGTAGGAATGTGCACTGTATTTCTTCTATGAGTTTTTTACTAGTCAAACCTTCTGTTGTCAAGTCATTTGAACCTAGGTGAATAACTAAAAATTCAGGGGGGGGGGGGGTGACGTTTTTCAGCAATTTCAAGATGTGAGGGTCAAGTTGTTGCCAATGCAATCCCCTTATGGCATGCCATTTGATGCAGGCTGGTAGGTTAAGGTTCCTGCCACCCGGCTGCAAGCTCTCCGGCCCAATAAGGGATTGAGGATTCCACTATCCAAATGTTTTTCAGGACACCTGAAAAACTTTGCTTGGATTAGAAAAAGTTTTTTTTTTTTTTTTTTTTTTTTTTTTTTTTTTTTGACTTGTTATAAACTAATTACATTCTGACATAAGAGGAGTAAACTTGCGACTTCCACCTGCCTGAGGCTTTTATGACCTCATCTGACACCCCATGTAGGGCCATATCTGTTGCCCTCCCTATTCTGAAACTATGGGTACAGAAATGCCCCTGTTTACCTGTAGAGACAAGGGCTTTCTGAAGGACTGCGTTAAATTGATATCTTGTTAAAGGGTTGATGTGAATGAAAAGGGGGTCTAATGGTGATGTTGAGGGGCGAATATTCGAATAACTGCTGACAGCTCGAACTGGACACAAGACAGTATCCGACTCTTTGTAAATGATGAGTATTGTTTTATGGGCTTTTTGATCTGTCTTTGAGTGAGGGATAGTTACTTTGATGTGTGAGTGTGTGTTATGTACTGTTACATTTTGAAATTTTATACAGTGCGAGTACTTCGCTTTGTTTGTGCTGGTAAATTCCCCTACCCTGAGTAAGCCAAAGTAAGCAAGTGAAAATGCAGACGTGAATAACGTGGCTTCATATGGTGAGGAGCATATTGCGGGTAGAGATAAGATTAACTCTCTAAGCAGAGGGCGGGTGATTGGGCAGCGAGTATCCACTGCTCTACCTATTGTGCGTTTGAGACCTTCAAGTGCTTTGGCTATAAGAAATGACTTAGTGGTGTCCTGTAATCCTTTTAGCTTGTGGTAAAAGGAAAGTGCTCGTACATAGAGTTCGACTGTGTTTGCGGAGAGCCCTTGTATTGACAAATAAGCAATAAAGTTGAGGATTATGTCTGTAGGTATGGGCCAAATTTCTTTTAGGTTGTATGATTTGAGAAAGCCATGGAATTTTTTAAGGGCTGCATTATAAACCTGTTTGGAGTTTTGAGAGATAGATTTTTGAATTAATCGTTCTGATTCGGTGACCAGATGTTCCATATCTGGGGTGGAAATTGTGTGGGCCACTGTTCTGCGTCCGGTGCCAGCTGGTGGAATTTTGTCCACTGTGAACGAGAAATACAGTCTGCTATAGAGTTTTGTTTAGTTGGGATATGCTGTGCTTTTATTGTGATATTGTACTGTAGAGTAATAAGGACCAATTCTCGGACAATTTTCATTACTTTGTTAGATTTGGATGTGGAGTTGTTCAAAACCTGTACCACGGCCATGTTATCTATGTGGAATAATATACGCTTGTTTGCTAGAGACTCGTGCCAGATCAGAACTGCAACATATACTGGGAACAATTCCAAAAATGTCATATCTCGGATGATTTCAGATTGCACCCAATCTTGTGGCCATTTTGAGTAAGCCCAACTCCCAGAGAAAAAGATTCCGAACCCCCCATTTTGCCCCCCCCCCCCAGCGCTGTCAGTAAATAGCTGCAAGAAAGTATCTGATGTCCAGATGTTGTTTGATATTACAGTGACTCCATTGTAATTTTGTAGGAATTTCAACCAAACTAGCAAGTCGGCTTTCATTTCTAGAGTAACTCTTAACTTATGATGCGGCTTCCGGATGCCTATGGTTGCATCGATTAGCCTCCTGCAGAATGCTCTCCCAGGTGCCACTACTTTACATGCAAAATTAAGCAGGCCAATGAGGGATTGTAGGGATTGAAGGGTGATCTTTTTGCTAGACAAACAAGTTTGGATGGTATGTTTAAGATTGGCCAACTTGTCTTGTGGGAGTTTCATTACCATTTCTATTGTGTCTAGTTCTATACCCAGGAATATTAAATTTGTGGCAGGGGTTGTGGTTTTTTCCTGTGCTATTGGGACCCCCAACTCTTGGCAAATATTTTGAAATACAGATAGAGTGTTTGCACACTGTTGAGAATGTGATTTGCCTGCGAATAAGAAATCGTCAAGGTAGTGCAAGATATTTGGGTTACGTGAGATATTCTGGGTTATCCAGTGCAATGCAGTAGCAAATTTTTCCCAGACTGCACGACTGATAGAGGCACCAAATGGCATCATTTTATCAAAATAATATTCGTCACGAAATTTAAAACCTAGCAAATCAAAATCGGAGGGGGCGACAGGTATGAGTCTGAATGCTGACTTGATGTCTGATTTAGCTAACAATGTACCTTTTCCCATAAGGGCGATCATGCCTGCTGCATCATCAATGTGGGAGTAATGAACTGAACAAGCTGATTGATCTATGTAATAATTGATGGAGTCATTTTCTGGGTATGATAGGTGGTGGATAAGTCTGAAATCCCCATCTTTTTTAGGTACAAGTCCTAGAGGTGAAATCTGAAGTGTTGGGAAAGGGGGATGCTGAAAGGGGCCACCTATTCTTGTAAGACCTAATTCTTTGTTGATTTTTTGTTGAACAATTTCAGGGTGCTGATATGCACTTTTTAGATTCTTAGCTTCTCTGGGTCTTCTGGGGCCATTGTATTGTAATTGAAAACCAAATTGAAAACCATTTATCAAAAATTCTTTCTCTTTGTATGTTTCTAAAAATGTTTGCAGTGGAGTTATTTTGATTGGTGTGCTGCCCAATGTGTATACATTGGTGTTAGACGGGACTGGGTAATTAGTGGTTGGACTGTTGTTTTCTGCAGTTGATTGCTGGATGGGTCCCGCTGCACAACCTGCAAGAGTGTCTGAACCTACAATTTGGGGAGAATTGACATTTTTTACCACTGTTATAAATGTTGCAATAATGGGTAGTCATTTGTAAATTTGACCTGTTTTGCTGATTGTAAGGGAGCATACGAGATTTGGCTGTTGGCTCTGAATTGTATGTGACGTTAGAATTGGTGATATGAAGTAACCAAAGTTCACTATTGATTTGGCCCCATGATGAATGGGGGTCAGAAACCTTTCTTAATCTAAACTGTTCATCGTACCTGAACCAACCCGCAGACCTTGATGCAGCGAGACGAATGTCACGCATGTACTTTAGCAACTCTTGTGCCCTAGTGCGGTATTTCTCCAGTAGAACGCTGGAGAAAATGATAAAGGCAGACGTCCACTTGTCTATAGACAAGTATGTATTGGACTTTTGTTTGATTAAGCACATTTTCCCATCCCTAATTTGTAATTCCCCCTTTGAGTCCATCTCATTAGCCAATTCCCGGGCGGATTTTAACAGTAAGGCCAAATCAATGAATTTACCCTCCCATATTTTTTGTTTCAGTTTAGGTGGAATGTGACCACTTAATGGGTCAAAAGTAGTTTGAGTTTGAACTGGCTGATATTCATCTACTTCTAAAGGTGTAAATTCTAGAGTCTGAGGTGTTGCTTCCTCAAAAATAGTTGGTAGATTCATTATTGACTCACCGTTTGCGTTGTTGGATTCGTCTGTTGAGTTGGCGAAATCGGGTTGTGCAGCCACATTTACAATGGCTGCGGACGTTGATGTTTGGGAAGCGCCATCCGTTGTTCTCCTTTGATTCCTAGGCCTTGGTCGTCCCCTGGATGGTGACACTTGCTGGGTTTCAATCTGTCTTCTTGAGAGTGTCCGTCTTTTTGTTCTTACTGGAGGCATCTTGCCGATGATGGTAGATTTTTAGCTATACTTGGAACTAATAATGTGACTGCTTCAGTGGGAAATTGTGAAGAGGAAGTTGAGGAATTTGTTAAGTTGTACCACAGTTCACTTCCTGTGGGTGTGCTTAAACAAGTTGTACCTAAATGATTCTTCTTTCCATATGACTTACATGTAACTTCCGTCAATTAAGAGTGATTATTTGTATATTTCATAAAATAATCTTTATTAATTGAATTGTTTCAAAAAATTTCAGTAAGGTGGTCATTATTTTTTAATTCACCCAAATATCGTATAGGTACCTAGAATGTTGAAAATAACCTAGAAAAACTCAATATATACACCTTTTTTTCAAAGAAACAATTTTCTCTGAGTCCTAAAAATATTTTTCACTAGTATTTAGTGCTTCCTTCAGGCGAATATGTACAGATTTTACCTTTGCAAGTATTTAAAACATATATTTAACTTAAATATGATAAACACTAGTGCATTGTATTATACTCAAAAATATAAAGATGCACGTATAATGACATGTGCATTGACTTTGTGTTCCGTTTAAAATATTTTTCAAAACTCTTTAATTATAAAAATACCATTGTAATTTCCAGTTTTTTTTAACCTCATATCAATCATTAACATGTTATGCAATACTCTCTCTCTCTCCCTCTCTCTCTCTCTCTCTCTCTAAGTGCGAATACTTTATGCAACTGTTGCTTTAAGCTTCAATGCCAGTGGAAGTATCTTTCCCTCAATAAATGATTGCCTTTGCATGAAGCCCATAGCCATCTGAAGTGTCCAGAAGTTCTAATGAATGTTAGAAGCAACATCATGCAAGTTCTGAAACGACTAAAATTAAATTTCAATTTTCAGTACCACCATTAATCTGAAGATCCGTAAGTTTGTAGAATTGCCATTGAAATTTCTATAAAGGACATGTTAACTGTGTTTATTGCTTCGGATAAAGAAAAAGTTTTATTTTAAATAGAAATAAAGGAGAAAATATTCAGCGGATGTAAATGATATTATGTAAACTTTAAAAAATCGAGAATGTTTATCGTATTCCCTATTGTATATTTACATTCTTTCCTAGCATTTTTTTTCCCAGTTTATTGATTAGTTTTTCTCGAGATTTTTCCCAACTGATTAAATCATTTCTCTTTAAATGCGTAATGAAAACATATATGAATTTGTCAGTAGCATTAACTTATATACTTAGAAATCTCCTATGCACCCTGTACTACAGAAAAAAGCATTGATTGGTTGTGAGAAAGAAATCAATGTTATAGTTACCCAGTTTTTTCACATTAAGTGAATCAAAAGCAGCAAAAATGTTCAGCATTGGCATTCATTTTCTTCATATAAGGAAAGAAGCGATGCTTGGATACATCTACGTGTGTTATTAAGCCTGAATAAATAAGATTTCATGGATGAAATCTTTATTCTGACGTCACTGGAGTTATCTATAATTATAAGAACTCCAATCGTCCAAGAAGAAAGGGTCTTAAGTAAACATAGCACGGAAATCTACAATAAAATGTATTAAAGAGCTGCTGTTTTACTTACTGGCAATATAGTCATAAATGTTTCGGTATTTTTGATATTCCGAACATTATTTTGACTTGATTCTACTAATGATTGTTCTTTGCCTAGAGAATGCATTGTTATTAAACCCCAAAAAGAAAGCAAAAAGCTGTAAAAGACTGAGAATTACAATGTTTTGTTTTAACATCCTTTATGGGTAACATATAGCTTTCGTAAATAATCTCACTTTAGAATATATAGAATAGTTTTACTCTGTCTTTGGACGCAATATCAGAAAAGGTTAGATTTAAGTAAGTTTAGACACCTGTGATAATGTCTGTTTCAATACTGAAAATATTTTTTAGTGATCGTACACATAGAAAAGAAGCTTTGTGGGGAATATGTCGATAAACTTGTTTCTGGTATCCGCGTATCTTTTGAAATTAAATTTCACTTAAATAAACTGGTGCTACATCAGGCTTGGGGTGAATTACATTGTAAAGTAATGCATTATATTGCCATTACTTCTAGAATTTGGGCATTGAATTACCATTACCATTAATCTGTTGTTTTTTGTTTTTTTAATTGATGGATTACATTACCATTTCTTTCGTAAAGTAATGCATTATCATTTCCATTACTTTGTGAGTTTAATATGTAAAATTTATGCAACTATTTCATTCAAGAGTCAAAATTTCAATTTTTTCATAAAAACTATATGTGATGAATGTTGATTCAATTTTGATTATCAAATTCTTTGCCTCCCTCCCCCTACCAAGTTCAATAGGTTGGACAGTGTCTACATTTTGCTCTAAAAGTAGCATGGTAGCATGTCTTTCTTCATTTATTTTCGTTCAAGGGATTTGTCCCGGTCCGCTCCAACTAGACTTGCTCACTTAGTGATTCACCAACAGAGCCAAGAACAGAAAGGGATTAGTATGTTCAGCACTTCTCAAAACAATATATTGTTTATATTGTTAAACATAATCCTAGAGGCATTATGTTTTTTTGTTGAAACAATGTATCTTTAATTAGTATATCTCTCACTGGAATTAATTTTTAAAGCAATTTTAAACTCCACTGAATATTCTTTGAAAACAAGGCTTATTTAAAAAAATTAACTTTAAAAGTATGGGAATTTAAATGTGTAGTAGCTGTAACTAAGCCAGGCATCATAAAAGTGAAAATTTATTTGAATATATGTATATACACAAACTAAGTTTACTGCAATTACTTAATTTAGTTTTCTTTAGTAATTTTATATGTTAATCTCTTAATCTTAACAATGATTACCATCTCCATTTTGAATCCTTTATCAAATTTTAGTAAATGAGTGTTGTATACACAAAATAATGATTGTAATGCCAGCATTACACTAGAATTTTGAAAGTAATTCATTACCGTTACATCACTTACATGTAATGAATTTTTTAAGCATTACACACTCATTTACTAGGATTACTTTAATTTAAAGTAATACATTGCAATGCATTACCATTTCAATTTAGCATTACCCCCAGGCTGTGCTGCATATAAATCGCTTGATATTGACTCTCATTTCCTCCTCTTACTATTTAACAAACGATGCTTTTCTTTTTTAAAATTTTTCTTCAATAAGCCTGTACCAGCACTATTTATGAGTTGGGTTGAGTTTTTTTTTTTTTTTTTTTTTTTTTTTTTTTTTTTTTTTTTGGTTGCAGACTACGTTCCTGTAATGAAACATTCTGTTGGGTTCTTTAAGTTTGAGAGCAATGACGCTGAAAGAATATCTTATGAAAGTAAAAGAAGAAATAAAAGAACGACATTTTTGGAAAACTGTTCGTTGTGAGTTTTTTGGTACTTTGCTCTATGTATTGTTCGGATGTGCAGCAACGGTTACTTGGAACGCAGATAACCATGATCCCCACAAGATAATCCGTATTAGTCTTAGTTTTGGATTTATTGAATATATTCTGGTTTCTTCTCTTAGTCATGCCAGTGGATCACAATTTAATCCAGTTATTACAATATCTACGCTTTGCACTAAATACATAACTTTCTTCAGAGCAACTTGTTACATTTTTGTGCAACTTATCGCGGGAATCATATCGTCTGCTATTCTATATGGATTGGTACCCGAGTATTCGCAAGATCATTTTGGAATCAATGTTTTTAATCCAGATGTTTCTCGTGGACAAGCGTTTGGAATTGAATTTCTAGGAACGTTTTTGTTTGTTTTTGCTTATTTTTCCTCACTGAGGAAGAAAAACGAAAAACTGATGCCAAAAGCTCTTCCGTGTGGCGTTTCTATAGCGTCTGCTCACATTTTTACGCTAAGGTTTGAAAAAAAACTTCCTTTTGTACATGTATATTGTTTATGTAACGTTGCTTTTTACGAGTTGATGGTATCAACTCATGTTATGTGACTTGTAAGGGATTCCCCAATGTATCGAAACTAACCACATTTTTATCTGAGTATTTTGCGTACGGGTTGTTGTATAATATTGGTTTATTTACAGTTTTCATAATCTACAGAACAAGAATATATGTTTCCTGATATGCTTTGAAGTGTTTATAAACATAAATATTTATCATTAATTTTATTGGAATTTGTGTCTATCCGCGAGAGAAAATAGTGTTAGGGACATGCGGTCAACAAAAGTGACATGTCGTGCAAACAAAGTTTTGATTTATAAATCAATAAATATTTTATATGATAAGAAGTATTTTGAAAACAGATTTTTTAAAGAAAATTCACAAAATTGAACATTGTACAAACTTGGTTATTTTTACAAGATTGACGTGCTGGTGGTATATAAATAAACTAATTCTTGCGCTGTTATGCTGATGAACAGAGCAGTTTTCCCGCGTTAGTGATGAATCGTTCAACACAGAGAATACGCCTACGTTTGTAAACAAAGCGAGAAGTTTGTAGTAATGAAGGTCACTCTGACCTACTTTTGAAAATTTAAGGCTTTAATTAAATATTTCAGGCACTAGATGGCTTAGAATCATCAAACTTTGTCAGTTGATGCATCTTGGGTCCTCGGAGTACAACAACTGAAAAGTAGGTCAATCTGACCTACTTTCGAAAATTTATGGCTGTATTTAATATTTTTTTCAGGTACTATTTGGCTTAGAATCATCAAAATTTGTCAGTTGATGCATCTTGGGTTCTCGGAGTAGGTCGACTGAAAAGTAGGTCACTGTGACCTACTTTTCAATTTATATGACTATAATTAAATATTTTGGGTACTAATTAGCTTAGAATCATCAAACTTTTTCAGTTGATGCATCTTAGATCTTCGGAGTAAGTCGACTGAAAACTAGGTCACCATGACCTACTTTTGAAAAGTTATGGCTTTAATTAAATATTTCAGGTTCTATTTGGCTTAGAATCATCAAAATTTGTCAGTTGATATATCTTGGGTCCTCGGAGTAGGTCGACTGAAAAGTAGGTCACCCTGACCTACTTTTCATTTTATATGACTATAATTAAATATTTCGGGTATTAATTGGCTTAGAATCATCAAACTTTGTCAGTTGATGCATCTTGGGTTCGCAGAGTTAGTCGACTGATTTGGAGGTCACTGTGACCTATTTTTGAAAATTTATGGCTTTATTTAAATATATCAAGTACTTATTGGCTTAGAATCATCAAACTTTGTCAGTTGATGCATCTTGGGTCCTCAGAGAATGACAAGTGATAAGTAGGTCACCGTGACCTACTCCCAGGTACTAATTGGCTTAGAATCATCCTGGGTTCTCAGGGTGTTTTATTTAAAATGCAGGTCATGATGACCTACCTTTGGAATTTCAAGGCTATATCTAAATATACAGGATATTTAGAGGCTTCAAATAGAAGTGATAGGTTGTACAGTTTATCAGAAGAGCGATTCAAGGCCCTTGGGCCTCTTGTAACAATTTAGAAACTACACTACCAAAGGATACATAAGTTTCAGCATTTCTAGCCCATTGGTTCTTGAGAAGATTTTAAAAGATTTTTCCCAATGTATTTCAATGTAAAACTTGGATTCCCTATTGTGGCCCCGCCCTACCCCCGGAGGTCATGATTTTAACAATTTAGAATCTGCACTACCCCAAGATGCTTCCACATAAGTTTCAGCTTTTCTGGCCAAGTGGTTCTTGAGAAGAAGATTTTTACTATATATTTCAATGTAAATCTTGGATTCCCTATTGTGTCCCCGCCCTACCCCCGGGGGTTATGATTTTTACAATTAAGAATTTACACTACCCCAAGATGCTTCTACATAAGTTTAAGTTTTTCTGGCCCAGTGGTTCTTGAGAAGAAGATTTTTTAATGGCCCCACCATAGTTTTGTCTTTTCTTGATTATCTCCCTTTGTAAGGGGGTTTGGCCCTTCATTTTAACAATTTAAACTCCCCTTCACCCAAGGATGCTTTGTACTTATTTTGGTTAAAATTGGCCCAGTGGTTCTTGAGAAGAAGTTGAAAATGTGAAAAGTTTACAGCTAGACGGACGGATGACGGACAATGGGTGATCAGAAAAGCTCACTTGAGGCTTTAGGTAAGTTGAACTTTATTCACGTGTCGCTGATTTCGACTTTCATCCTCTTAAGCCACCAAATCACCCCACACTCTGTGAGTAATGATTTTTGTCAATATAAGCGCACACAGCCTCCCATAAATAAATTTCCAATCCCTCCTTTATAGATCGTTTGCTGGAACGGGTCGTCAATTTTTCAATTTTCGAACATAATGAACTTATGGTCTTCTGCAGATTGCACAGTTGTTGAAGGTATCGTCAATACAAATGAAATTATGAGTACATTTTCCTGCAATTCTTCACAAAAGTAACACTTCATTTTTAGCAATTGTTTTATAATTAAGAGGCTCAAATCACTACTCACTGTAGAGGTTAAATTCCGTGGTAGTTCATATGCAGTTAGACTAATGTGCACTTTGATGTAAAATAAACGGAAATCTACTGTGAACGACACAATTAGGAATAGATTAAGGTATTCTTAACATCATATTATTTTCCAATGTAAGTAAACAACAACATGATTTCTGTTTACAAAATTTTATTTCTTTGAACATTTTTCATGGAAAAATGAGTGAATTAAAAAAATGACCAGACAATATTTATCAACCTGCACTAAAAATACAGGCAATTAGAATAAAGTTCTACGTCTAAGCATATGTCTTTTGATATTGTCTAAATACCTGCCAAATATCTCAAGTCACAAAAAAGTCATGCCCAAAAATGATGCATAAAATGTCAGGAGTGCAACATCCCAACTGACTTATAACAGATTATCGCAATGTCAGAGACTGTATAATTTGGAGACTGGGAAGGGGAGGGGGCTTTACAGTTGTGACTGAAAATCAACAAATTGTTCTGTTTTCCATATTTTTTGGCATCAAACTTTGAGATAAATATTGGATAAGATTTAATACATGTCTGCAGATCAAGTTATCCTTCTGCTGAATCTCATTCTGGTTTTTCTTGGCAGCATTACGATACCACATATACTGGTAACATTTGAAGTTGCTTGAATATTTTTATACATTTCACAATTAGGTAAGATCACTTGTGCCGGTGTGTTGAAAGGGTATCGACATTTTTTTTTCTACAATAGAACTTAGTTGAAAACAAAAATACGAAATACATTGTACATACAAACAGTGGACGCACTTCTCAAGCACAGCATGTCTCTATTCTTTTTTTTTTTTTTTTATCTATTTATTTATTTTTATGCACTCAATATTGATTAGGGTTTTCAAGAATCCTTGATCTCAACGCTTATAAATGTGAAAATTGCCTGATTTTTTTTAACTCTTGAATAATAATATAAAGTGCCAATCATATTTTGATCAAATGTTGTAAATAAAAAAAGCTAATTCACTTATTCAGGGAATTTATGTCCTTCGCTTAACTAAGGACAAAGTAAGAGGGTAGAAGACCCCCCCCCCCCAATGCATATGGAGAAAGAAAAGACCTTAATTGACCTTTTACCTTCTGTCCTTCAATTAAACAGAGGCCTTGGGAGATTGATTGTAAAAGCTTAAAGAGAACTAATGCCTACTTTGTGCAAAACTGCGTAATGAATTTTAACTTCATCTTTGACCTTTTGACCTAAAAAAAATCCTCTGCAAGTCATATAGGGAGTTATGATATCAAAATTTTAATCGCAAAAACTCAGAGGTCTACAACGAAGTTATATCATATGGAAACCGCGGTTTTATTCACACAAGACATGTGTGAATTTCTGACCTTGACCTTTGGCCTTTGATCTCAAAATCAATAATCAAGGGTTTTCAAAAGTCGCTTAAAGTACCGTTCGGAATTACAGACGGACTATAGAACGTTCTATCGTTAAAATGATATTGACCTACGGACCCGGTTTTAACAACTGTGGTGAGGGCTTGTCCCGAGACACAGTTAGATTATTCTAACTACAGACGGACAGACGGACGAGCCCAAATTAACACAACATCCCCTCCTCCCTTTTAGTGAAAGCGGAGAACAAGAACGGATAAACAGTCGTGGCTAGAGCCATTCTAAGTGCATGCCTCCTTTCAATCAAGCTTCCACTCCCTTTAGATCGATTGTATGTACACCGCACTAGGTAAACACCCAGTCCACACTGCACTTCACTAATCACAAAACAACAACAACAGTATATGCATTGTAGCGCATTGTAAGAGGACGCTAGGATTTATTTCTCACAGCAAACAGAGCAGTACTATTATAGTAAAATGTAAACCCAACTATGCTTTCCTCGCCGCCCAGGAAAATTCACAATTTTGTGTGTAAAAAAACTATGGAAACCTGTAAGTCCGCATCAATTGCGAGGTAAACAAAATGAATGGCGGACTCATTCTTACAAACCTATGTATAATTATGTAATTTTAAAAAAGAAAAAGTATTTCAAAATGCTGAAATCAGACTTGCTCGGGCAGAGCGTGCGCTAGAAACTGAACTCTAACCCTACAAGAAAACTATTGAAACACGTCATTTCCAAAATCTAATTTCATTGGCTGTTACCCAGTATACAAATGCTACTAATACATAAACGAGACTTCCTTTTCGGTACACACAATTTGTTTACATGTCGTTAGGACAACTATTTCTCGCTATACTATGGTAACGCGAGAAATTATAAAAACCTCCCGAGTTAACTTCCGAATGATTCAAGGTGATTTGAGAGGAAGCCGACAGTGAGAAACAGCTGAAACGGGACAAGTTGCAAGAGGGAAGTAAAACAGCAACAGAACATCACTGTGTCAACTTTCGCTTTGATTAAGCATTTATTTACGAAGATGGCAGACATCAAACGAGCACCATTAACTTCAGAGGCAGCCTGGAAAGAGCTACAGAATTATTACGATTCAAAGGGATCCAAATTGAACATGCTACAAATGTTTAAAGAGGATGCATCTA